TCCCAGATGTAGAGACTTTCATTTAGCTATATTAAAATGCATATTGGTTGCTTGTGCCCAGTTCACTGAGTGATCTGGATCACTCAATCAGTGACCTGTCCTATTCATTATTTACCACTCCCCCAATTTTTATGTCATCTGCAAACTTTATTAGTGGTGACTTCATGTTTTCTTCCAGGTCATTGATAAAGATGTTGTATTCTGTAGAGCCAAGAACCGATCCCTGCAGGACCCCACTGAAAACAGATTCACTCAATGACAATTCCCCATTTACAGTTACATTTTTGAAACCTATCAGTTAGCCAGCTTTTAATCCATTTAATGTGTGCCATGTTAATTTTATATCTTTGTAGGTTTTTTTAATCAAAATATCATGTGGTACCAAGTCAAATGCTTACAAAAGTCCAAGTATATGACATGAATACTACCACTGTTATCAACTAGACTTATAATCTTGTCAAAAAAAGATATACAAGCTAGTTTGACAGGATCTCTTTTCCATAAACCCATGCTGCGGGTTATTGATTACATTACCCTCCTTTAGTTCTTTATTAATCAAGTTCCATATCTTGCCTGGGAGCAATGTTATGTTGACGGGTCTATAATTACCTGGATCATTCCATTTACCCTTTTTTAAAATTAGCACTACGTTAACTTTCTTCCAGTCTACTGGAACTTGTCCATTGCTCCAAGACTTCTTGAAACTCAACATTAAAAGTTCAGCGAGCTCCTCAGCCAGCTCTTTCAAAACTCTTGGATGCAGGTTATCTGGACCTGCTAATTTAAGTGTCTAGCTTCTGTTTAACATTATCCAGAGATACTAGTGGAATGGAAAGAGCGTTAGCACCATATTATGAGACTGCATCATCTGTTTTTCCCCACATACAAAGCAGAAATATTTCTTCAATACTTCTGCCTTTTGTGTTATTATTGATAATTCTATCATTTCCATCTAGTAATGGGCCAATAACATTGTCAGTATTCTTTTTGTTCCTAATATATGTATAAAACTCCTTTATTGTCCTTAAATCTGTTGACCACAGATTTCTCTGTGTCCCTTGGCTTCCCTTATCAGTTTTCTACTATTCCTAACGTCTGATTTATATTCATTACCATCAGCTTCTGCATTCTTCCATTTGTTATTTTTTACAACTATCTTTGATTCCTCTTTAAATTAGGTTGTTTTTTTAACCAGCACAGCCTTCTTCCTGAGTTGTGGGATTGTAGCTTTTTGGGCAGCAAGTAAGGTGTTGTTAAATGATTCCCAATTATATTAACATTTTTCTCATTAAATTACTGCTCACAGTTGATTTGGCTCATAATTATTTTCAGCTTTGTAAAATTGGCCTTATTGAAGCACTGTGTGTGCAGGACCTTATTATGCTTGTGCATTATGAATGTGATCAAGTCATGGTCACTTGTACCTAAGCTACAATTAACTTTTAGTTCTGTGATTGGTTCCTTTTTATCTGTTAGAACAAGGTCTAATATAGAATTCCCCCATCTTGGCTGCAACACTCTTTGAGTTAGGAAATTGCCATCTATAATGTTTAGAAATTCCAAAGATGTTTTAGTACTGGCAGCAAGAGACCTCCTACATGTCACATGAAGTACCCAATGATCACAATGTGACGTTATGTCCCATATTCTTCATAGAGATATTGTTATGATATGAATATGGCATAATTAAGATGCTTTATGCAAGATGGGTCATGTGAGGCAGTGGTTTTCAAACTGCAGGTCGCGACCCAGTACTGGGTCGCG